CCCCCCAAACACCCACCTCTCAAAAAACAGGACATGGACCATCCCCTCCCACACTATTACGTCGCCTCATCCCACAACACGTACCTCACCGGTCACCAGCTCAAGGGAGAGTCCTCCATAGAGCTCTACAGTCAGGTAACTCAGACTTTCTTTTTTATTGCTTTTCTTATTCTGTTTGTTCCGTTTATTGGGGAGGGGGTGGTTGGGTTTTTTTGTGTTTTTTTGTTGGTTTTTTTATATTTTTTTTATTTTAATGCAGATGTTTTCATGCTTCAATCGACACAGTTTAGATCATTAATTTAGGATGCGTGCTCCCGACCCTTCCTGTCAGGACCAACCTGGGCTGAGAAGGGTACACTATCCCAGCAGATAGATGGAGATATAAGTTGATAAAAATTCCGCCCAACTCGGGAATTGAGCTCAGGTCGTCTGCGTGCGACAGCGATGCGCCTAACCAATACCTCACAGACACTGGTTTGGACTTTCGACCAGGATTGTCTGGATGAGATTTTTGAAAAAAGTGAAAGCATAAAATTAAATGATGGATTACGTAAAACACCATATCTTGGAAAGTATTGTTTCGGGAAATGGTATAGTGAAACTGATTAAAAAGTCTAGAAATGCAACGCTCTGAATTCGAGAGTTTTGAAAAGGAAAATAAACATTAAAAAACAAACTCCATAATACTCTTCAGCCTATTTTGTCATTTTCAAGCTGTTGTTACTTTCTCTTGTTTTTTAACTCTAAATGCCCGTTATTGTTTCCAAGCGTGTCTCTGTATTTTAAACAAACACCCACCTCTTCTCAAATTTAGCGGGAAGTTGGAGGGCGCCTCTGATAGGTCCTACTTTTTTACTTTCCCTCTGTTATTTCCATCTGCCTGTCTTACTTTTCCCCTAGCACTAAATGGCCATTATTGAGTCGACGAGCTTCTCTTTACTCAAACTAACAAAGTATACGAACAGAATGACAGTCACTGTGCCGATGTTCTTCTCTTTACTCAAACAAACGAACTATTCTCAAATTCTGACTAATGACCTAGGATTATTCACACGAAGCAATGTGTTGCCCCAGGTTCTGCTCATGGGCTGCCGCTGTGTAGAGCTGGACTGTTGGGACGGGGAGGATGGCTCTCCCATCATCTACCACGGTCATACTCTCACCACCAAGATCTCATTTAAGGTGTGTACCTACGTAAGAAAATACAACTCATATAATGAGAGAGAGAGAGAGAGAGAGAGAGAGA